TCTTGAGGCCAAGGTTGACATTTAAGATGTGAATTGTAAATTCAAATGCATTTTGGATTGAGTTTGATTATCTTTATAATTTTAATTCATGAACTTAAATGGTATATATATGAAAAAGGGAAAGATTTTGGATCTTAGTTGGACCAAAAAGCATAAAAGTTTAGAAAATACAGGATTTTAGGCTACTCAGAAATTTTTGTTACCTTTTATATGCAAACGAATTATATAATCACAATTAACCCACAACTCATCTGCAATAGTCCGAGAGCTTCATGCGTAAAAGCAAATATTACAGACAATTATTTAAAATCAGGTGAAATACATAGTACATCTCTTATTTGTAGACGTCGCCAACAGCAACCCATCTTGGCCCACTATGGCATCGCAGTTAGCATGCATCCTATGGTGCTTAGATTCCCACCATGTGGACACCTTAAATCTGATGCTTGATACTATTTCCAGACGAAATGCAACCCTTCCTTGCGCACGATCATTCATGAACTCCTTCCAACGCTGGCTATTCACCGTCAGAGTCGCCCCACTTAATGTAGCAGCCAAGATAGTCGTATTCTTAGGCTCTTGATAAAACGGTTCCGCCAGTGGTGTTGCCCCGACCCGTTGGTCCTTGTAATAAACAAATGCTTCCGTTGAGTTATAATATATCCCAATATGTTGGTTGGGGTTGCGGGCTGTGACATTGAAATTTAATTCTGCATTCTCAAAGCCGGTGGCTTGAGCCAAACCCGGAATTGAAAATTCGTGAATATGAAATCTTGGTCTATGGGGGCGTAAGCTGAGCCATAAAATGAACATGATAATTCCAACAATTAAAAGAAGTGATAAAAATATGACACACAGTGTTTTGGAAACCCTGGTGGTCAGGCTTTCACGGACCCTATGGGCATAGTAGTGGGCGGAGTGGTGGCGCTTCAAGGGTGGAAGTTGCGACGGGGTACCTTGGCGAATTGGTAACCTGTCGGAGGAGTGCATTTTTTTTTTCTTTTTTTCTGCCAAGAGTTGCCTGGAAAGTGTTGATGAACAGAATATATAACTTGTTGGGATGTTTTTTATGTTAAGGAAGGTAAAGGCAAAGTGATCAAGTGAAAGAGATTTGGGATGTTTGCATGGAGAAAGAAAAGAATAATTGCCCAGCTGCTTTGCCAATTTATGTTCTATGTTATTTGTGCAAGTAAAGGTAATATGCTTCCATTACTTCATTTGTGCCACATTGTATATTTTGTTTTAGGAGGTCGATTACACTATTCAATAATATTTGATAGCAGTAACAGGTAATTAATAACCAAACTATACCAATTGATATGTGCTCAAATTGTGTTTTGTGTCTTGTGTAACTTATAGGAAATAAATTATATAAAGTAGACGAGTTTTAGCTAGGCTATTCTTAGCTTATTCATCCCCGCGAATAAGGTATAAAGGTTCCGTATAGGAGATGGAAGGTACTAAGTATCATATTGTAGAATAATATTTCTTCTTGTCAGTATCTATCTCAATTTAAAGGGAATTATTTTTCAGCCTTGTGGTTTAGCATAAATAACCCTTTGCTACCGTTGTTTCTAAAAGTCACATTTTCGCTTTCATTCTTATACATTAAAAACTATTCCTTGAAATAAAACTATAAATGAGTTTTTTTTTTTTTTTCTCTTTTGAAATTTTCTTTTATCTAGATAATATTATTCAATGTTAATTACTTTTTATAATCAAAATTTTATTTTGTAATTGTAGTGAGAGAAGTGTTATGAAAAATAAAGATTAAATTATTTGGTTTATCTTATCAATATCAAATATTTTTTTCTTTGTAAGTTTTTTTTTTTTTTTATAAAAAATTTAAATATAAAAAAATAACTATAAAAATATTTTTGACTTATCCTTTATTTTAACTATCGAAGTAATAATTTAACTTATTGTAATAGCACCTTACAAGGGTAGTGTAGTCTTTTCATACGAGATTATGTTAGTAAATAAACTTGACTAACGATCATTTGATTAAGGAGAAAGCTATTTCCCCGTTATTTTATTTTATTTTGATTACTTGTCATCGTGAGTTGGACGTTGGAAATGAACCTTCTACGCAATGTTGTGTAAACCATTGAGAGTATTATTAGAACTAACCTTAGTTAATCGTTTCTATCTTGATTAATATCAGTTACAATTGTTGATAAACCATTAATCTCTTTTAGAACTAATTCTTGAACTCTTCACTATATTAACTTGCTCATTAATTAATTAAAACCAAACTCCTTATTTAATTAACCAAAATAAATCATGTTTAGTTACTAACCTATCAAAGATTAATGGATTTAACACAAAACAGAGAATTTTATTTTTTATTTTTTATTTTTTTATGTGGAAACTCTAATGAGAGAAAAACTGTGAGGACATCAATGATCACTTCAAAGAAAAGATCAAATCCACTATGAAATTAATTATATAACGCTCACACGATGACTTCTTGAATAATTCACTCACGATTGATGAAACTATTCACAACTGATAGTACTAGTTGAAATTTTTAATCACTTTACCAAGTTGATTAAACCTAAGCGGAATGGGTTAACATGTTCATTTGTGCGTTTTGTGTTGGCTTTTTAACATCAATATAAACAATGCATCCAAGACAAAATGTAAAGCACATAACACACTTTTACATGATTTGGCAATCTACCTACATCCATGGGACCGCGTCCAGATGAAGCTAATCCATTATGGTAAACATTTATAGTTTAATTATAAGGTCAAAGTTAAGCATCAGTTACAAAGCACTCATTGTTATGAAAACGCTTCAAACTTCACCCTTTGGTCAAACTTGGAACTACCAAGCTAGCTTTACTCCACGAGACCACCTGGTCACCCTTGAGCTACTCTCAAGGTTCAATGCCAAAGACGCACTTCAACTTCGTTAGCTTGAAATCCATCAAGCATCAACAATGGAATACCCACGTTCCACCCGTGAACAACACAAAGTAGTGAGGTATTTATAAGTCTGCTTAAAGCATATGAAACCTAATTCAAAACAAAAGAAACCTCAAAGAATATGCAGAGAACTTTTAGAGGTATATTTAGGCTTGAAATAAAATGCATTGGAGAAGACGAATATAAAGAAACTTGCGTACCAATGCAAGGGGACAGGCAGTAGACAACCCTTTTTGTGTTTAGCCATTTTGGGAAAGTTTTCACCAAACTTTCTATGGACCACAATAAAGCAAAACGAATTTTTTGATCCACCTAATGAGCTAATTACAAGTCTACTAGGACTACTTACACATGTCTCAGATAAGGATAAAAATCCTAATATTGATCAAATTGAGACACAACATATTTATATAAAATCTGGCTGGGCAAGTGTCATCACACGAACATATAATGTTATGACACCAGAAAACAATAAAACGATTTTGCATTAACAAAATGATGTCACGACATCAAAAATCAGTGTTACTACATTGAATTCATAATTTGACAAAAATACTTACAATATTCCCCTTTGTCAAACTTATGAACAAAGCACAATCTTCCACAAACACACCTCTCTCAAACACAACTTTAATCAACAACAAGAGATAAGTGAGAAACACAACATAAAAACATATCTCATAAGAAGCATAATCATTAAGGCATTGAGATAAGTTAGAAAATACATCAAAGAGAACTTAAGCAAAACACAATCAATATCATCAATCAAAATTAGTTTTGGATTAAGTTAAATCAAACTTGTAAGTTATTTTGTCAACTTATGATTCTAGTGGTGTAACACCAGTCATGGTATGAACATTTCACTTTGAATATTGCACAATCATTCTTGTTTAAATTTCCAATGTGATGACCTTGTGTTAAAAGTGACCACTTTCTATTATGTTGTTTATTTGCTATATCAGGTGAGCACCTCTAAGTCAGAGTGATCACAATATATCTGGCAGATTTATTTGAGTAACACGTGTTATGCTTCTAGAATGCATGAGCTGTTTTATTCTCTTTTGAGATATTTGTGTGGTCCATAACACTTGGAAAATTTATATTCAATGTGCTAGAAGTTGCATTCTCTTTGATAGGTGGCATCTTGATTTTGGAATAAACTTTTACAAAGGCGAATTCAATAAAGTTATTCCTTGCCACATGTCCCCTTGCATTGGTGCCCAAGTTTTCTATATATTGTCTTCTCTAATGCAATTCTTTTCAAGCTTGATTATTCCTCAGATATTACTTTGTAAATTCCTTGAGGTCTCTTTTGTTTGAATTAGGTTTATATGCCTTAGGTAGGCTTACAAATACCTTGGTTATACTTTGTTTATTTGTTTATGGCTGGAACATGGATTTCCATTGGTAATGCTTGTCATAGGGGTGAGCACGGGTAGCGGGTAGAACCGGAACCTGGGTGTAGAACCGGAACCGAAATCTACCCGGAACCGGTACTGTGTGGATAGGTTTCGGTTCCAAAAAATTGGAACCGATACTGTGCGGTTCCGGTTCCGGTTCTTGTGTGTGGAGGAATCGAAACCGGAACCGTAACTTGTAAAAAGGGTACCCTGTTTGGAACCTATAGGGGGTACCTGGTTTGGAACCGATTTTTGGAACCTGTTTGGAACCTGTTTTGGAACCTGTTTGGAACCTGTTTTGAAACCTGTTTTGAACCTGTTTGGAGCTTGTTTTAGAACTTGTTTGTAACCTGTTTTGGAACCTGGACTACAATGAAATATTTGTGGAATGTGAATAGTGGAGGGTTTCTATTATTTTATATATAAAAAATTTTAAAATAGAAAAAGTTATATTTTTATAATAACCTAATTAAATAAATATACGAATATAATTATACTTATTACATATAAATTACACCATATTAAAAGCTTTAATATATTATAATACATTAATATTAAAGTTTTGATTAATTAAGTGAATAATTGGAATTATGATCTTAAGGACATATATCAATACATATTGCAATAATAATGATTTACGCGATATAGAATAAAATGCCTTTTATTGATTAATGAACATTATTACAAAGAGTCAATTCTAAAATAATTGATTGGCTCTAGGGCATCTACTCTAATAGCATACACATGATGCAAAAGCAGAAATGACTAGATACATTGTGCTTGCATCAATGGCACCATTACTGCGACAGTAGTGCCAGAAAATGGATTTAGCTTCTATTCTTCATTTTCTTCATTGAAATAAGAAGCATATGGTGTCTCGGTCGTTATTCAGGTGTAGGATGGAGGAGGGTACCAAAATTGATGATCATATACTCAAGTTGACCGAGTATATGAACAAGCTTGAGATTTTAGGATGTGGACTTAATGAAGGATTAACGATAAACCTAATATTACAGTCTTTGCCAGATTCTTATTCTTAATTTGTCTACGACTTCATTGAGGAAGATAAGAAGAAAACCCTTTCCGAGCTTCTAGATTTTTTGAAGGCTACTAAGTCGGGCGTGAAAATGTCAGAAACATTGACGTTGGTTGAAGCCAGCTCAAGTGAAAAGGAAAGGGCTCAGAAGTCATTAGAAAGAACTATTGCAGAAAAGAAAGGCGTTTGTCCTCACTATGGGAATCCCAGCCACTGGAGGAAACATTACAAGGCCTTCATAACAAGAGGGAAGAAGAATGTTACTTCTTCGTCGGGTAAGTTTTTGAGATCAACTTATCCCGTTGACATCTTGGGTTATTAACGCAAGATGTGGTTCTCACATTTGATTGATGCGTAGGGACTACGGCAGAGTAGATTGCTAGCCGAGGGAGAGGTGGACCTACCAGTTGGAAATGAAGCACGTGCTACTGCATTTGCTGTAGGATTTTATCGTCTGATTTAGCTTATGGGCTTGTTTCTTGGAACTTGTGGATTATTATGGTCTTTCTTCAGTTTCTAGAAATTATATTTCTGTGTCCACTTAGGACAAATGAGAATATTAGTTTGCTAATGGATTATTGTCCTTGAGTGTAAATAATATTCTTTATGGAACTGTTTCATAATAATATGTTCTTTAAGAAAGACAATAAGGATAATCTCAAAATGACAATT